CCCCTCTCCCCTCCCCCCCTGGCGACGTTGGCTCATCCCAACAGAGACATCCCTGAATACCCTTTGCCCTAGTCCGGCAAGACTCACGAGTGAGCTACCATCTCAGCCGCTGCTGTGCCCTATTTCCATCCTCCTAGCTAGCTTTCCTCACCAGCAGGACACGTTATATCCAGTAAGATGCAGCACTCAACATGATCATAGTTCTTCCAAATTAATCTTGCAGAGTTTCCCAACTTATGTCAGTAAGAGGAAGCAGCATTGAGTACTAAGCAAACGTAAGACTGTTCACAGTATGAGCCACCGAAGCTTAAGGATCTGATGCACATTTGAAAACCATGAGTTTAAGTTAAACATTTCGACCTTAAAACAGACACACAAACCTAGAAAGAAAGCATGATAGCAATTAAAAATTTCCATTGGTATTTTGAATACGCCATCCAAATTCTACTCACCCCTTTGCAACACTCAGAACATTTGTGAGATTCACTGTGTCAATACACAGAAACAATATGTCATTGGCAATGATTAATTAATCAACATCAATATTATATGCTCAACGTGCTCTACCTCGTCATATATATAAAATAAAAAGCATCCAGATACCCAATCAGATGATTCCAACAATTTAGGGGCTACCCCCTTATAAAGAAACAGTCCCAGCTATAGCTCCATGTGACCCCTCACCTCGTCCCTTACCCCCTTCGCTTCAAGACCACAGCTAAATGTTCTAAGACTTCTACCCACACTCTTTTCAAGTACAGCTAAGAGGCCCTTCGATTTGGGCAGCCCCTCTATCATCTGTGGACGCTACTGAGCAGCTACTCTCTCCTAACACTGTCAACAGTTGAGAGGTATCTAGACTGAAAGATGCCTCAAATACAGCTATAATGACGGCGGGGGAAGAAGGTAGGCTAGCTCCTATGCATGGGGCCAGTTTTTATCTCCTTTACTGTCACAGTGTGACTCTATAGTCCAATATCCCCTCTCCGAGCTTCCCTCGTCGCCCACCTCCCTATATCTTTGATAAATTTTGAAGGAAAAAGAGCGTACTAGATGATACATAGATTGTCCGGACTTCCATTCTCAGAGAGGTGAGAGCTCCCCTAAGTCCACTATTTGCTATCGCCCTGAGCCCGCAGATTGTCCGGACCAAAGACGCAACACAACAACAAAGCCCAAGTCCCTTTCAGGACCTTTCAGCGAACTAGGACACTGCAGCACAGCAGCATCCACCCATTTTCTCGTGCGTGTGTGTGATTGCATGCCATCATCGCCATGTACATGTGATCCGAAAGTATCACCTCAGGAAGTAATCAAGTTGAACCTGTTCTGATCTGTAACCCTTCTTTTTGTATAAACTCTAGCAGACTAGCTGCCACTAGCAGTGGTGTCCCCCGCTTCTGCTCCAAGCGAGGTCAAATTGGGTTCCCCCTTGCATCTCAGTAAGTTGTAGCACTACCACGGGACACTTAAAAACATGGCAAGAAAAAAAGAAGCCAGACGATGCTGGACTAGCATAATCGGCAACAGTTACCACACACTAAGAAAAAAAAAGTACTTTTAATTGTACGGTTCAAAAAGAATCTACACCCCCTCGGGACTTACACACTGGGTTTCAGGACCGTACTGCTCTGCGATAGTGACCAGGGCCATGTCACATTGTTGAAATTCCTTTACCCCAGCAACCTGTACCTAACCAGAGAAAATGGCTGCTCAAAGGGAATACTTCCACAGGGACTTTTCACACTGAATTTGGCGGTAATTGACGTCAGGTACTTGTCGGATAGTCCTACTCTGAGTATGGCTTTGTTGGTACTTACTCCCTACCCTAGGCAAACACCCTCGTACGTATCATGCACGTCCTACCCTCAGCACACATACCTCTTTGTTGCGATATGGTTCCCTAGTGGGCTATCCCTGTCCTTTCCCGACAGTCATTTATTTTCTGACAGTCGATCACTATGATTAGCACTGCGAGTAACTGCAACCTCACCACACATTTAACTGTCCGCTCAGCCGAAAAAAACAGTTTCTCCTTTGAGGATCCATTGCTTTTGCTGAGTCTTGCACTCTTAAAGCTGCACCCCTTCATGGCTCTTTCTCTGACACTGCGAGCTGTTCCGAAGGACTTACTGAATTTTGAGACATCCTACACATTCCGTAGCGTCTGACGATCATGCGCCGTCTCTCAATGGTCTTGCTCTATCCAGGCCCATTCGTCGTGAGGTTGTCAACTTGTCAATGTGCACTAAGGCTCATCAAATTGCCACCCACATTAGGTCTTCAATTACGTTCCTCAATGGTATTGCTCGCATTGCAATGCCAAGTCTGTTCTTCAAACTCGTCCAGGGGCGATGAATCCGACCTCAGACCAAAGCTCCATCGTATCAACTCGCCACTCCTGTTTGACCGTCATGATTGTGTGGTTGAGGTCAGCCACAGCGGAATCAGACAGTACACACACTTCTTTCGTCACTCTGCATGTATCTGGTCTCTATCTTAAGTGGTTTTACATGGGTGCGCTTGGGCGATTCAAGGGAGAGCTGTCAGCCTATTTTGCAAAGGAGGGGGTGCTATATTGGCCTCGCCGTGCACGGCAGGCCCGCAAACACATCTTATAGCCGGCCTGGCTCCGCATCCTAGAGCCGGCGCGGCAGCGCATCCTAGAGCCGGCCCGGCAGCGCATCCTATAGCCGGCTCAGCTGGGCATGCTATAGCCGGCTCGCCGCGCATCGCATAGTCGTACCCTGCCTGCTCATCCTCCTCGGAGATACGCAGCAATACGGAAAGGTGGAGGACCTTAAAGACAACCCCCATCGTGACCGACGTCCAAGCTGTAATGCAGATGGCACCGATTAGCTGAGCCGCAAGCAGCCTTCCACCTCCTCCGTAGAACAATCCAGAGTACTCTCCCTCCCAATGAGAGTACACTTGCATGAGATACTCCTTCTTGGCAAGCAATCCAACAAACAGGACTCCCAGCAAACCGCAGCCTGCATGCAGTTGGAATGCCTCCAATGGATCGTCGTATTCGATCCAATCCATCAGCAGATTCATGCCAATCAAAACCCATGCAGCGAGGAAGCCAAGGAGGATAGCTGCCCACGGCTCGATTACTGAGCACCCTGCAGTTACAGCTGCAAGTCCGCCAAGAAGACCGTTGCACGTGTCAGACACGCTCCACCCCATCTTCCCCCTCAGGGCAAGGAGCCCCCTCTTAGCAAGCAGTGTGGTCAAGGCGGCAGTGCCAGCACTTAGAGTGGTTGTCACGGAGGTTCTCGCGACGACAACGTCCTTTGCAACGCCGGCGACGGGAACAATGGAGGTCAGCGAGCCAGGATTGAATCCGTACCAGGTAAACCACAGCAAGCAAGTTCCCAGCACAATCAAAGTGTCGTTTCTTGACTCCTGTGCCACTGGCGGCGCTCTTTGACCCAGCCTTCTGAGCGCCCACTTGCGTTGCACGGCGAGGCGTGCACCCTCTATCCTTGCACCCCAAAACCCAGCGATCCCACCTGTCATGTGAACGACACCGCTGCCTGCAAAATCCACCATACCTACGCCCAGAAACGGGTTCTTCTTGAATGGACTGATCCAGCCGCTTGGCGCCCACACCCAGTGTGAAATAATTGGGTAGACGAATGCAGACAGGAAACTGACGTAAACCAGATATCCCGTAACCTGCGTTCTCTCGGCGATGGAACCGCTGGCGATCCCCGCTGCGACCCCAGCAAATGCCCATTGGTGCAACCAACGGCTCGTTGGGTTCACGGGATTGCCGTTTTCAAATGTAGGGTGGTGGAAATTATGCATGGCAAAATTGCGGGTGCCAATAAAGCCATTATGGGGTGGGCCTCCATAAGCAAATGCGTACCCAAAAAGATAATAGGCGATGGCGCCGACAGCAGCGTCCATGACGTTGTAAAGCATGATGTTCAGAGCGCTCGCGCGCTGAACACTGCCACCACATAGGGCGGCGAATCCTGCCTGCATCAAGAAAACCAGGTAGGCGGAAAACAGCAAGAACATGGCATCTGTCCCTGCAACGGCATCATCTGAGCGATTCTGTACGGCGCAGAATGCGTCTATGAATTCTTCCGTGGAGTCAGGATCCAACTTCGAAGCATTAGCAATCATCTTGAGGACCCCCTTTAGGTTACTGCTCTGGCACTCAACAGACGCCATCGTGGCCTCTGAACTCTGGAGTCCACCTGAAACAAGCACAGAAAGGAAAGAAAAGGAGGAGAGCCAGGGGGAGGGGGGGGGGGGAAGCAGAAAGCCCCAGTATCACTGTTAGAGTCCGATTGTTAGCTGTCAGATGATATGCCACCTATACAACAAACCCATAAAATACACACTCAGGGTTATCTAAAGAGGCGAGTTTTCGTGGATACTAAGTTGGGGGAAGGGACGACAATCCCAGGTGCATCGAGAAGGGCACGGGTTATCAATACCTTCAAGCAATCATCTGTTACAACAGGTAATAAATTAAATGTGAAAGGAGCGTGCCCGGCACGACTTTGGTGCACGTTGTTGGGGGTGTGTCTGATACATTTAGGCTGCAAATCCCCTTCCTGGGGGTCAGGTAAGAGCCAAGATATAGGTTGGGATAATTGGGTGTCGGCTGAACCATCAGTCTGCAAGCCATCACGCCAACCAGACTCAGTAAGGGCAGAAATAACGGACGCCATAGCAGCACAGCGGAAGCCAAATGACGGTCCTCCCGGACGTGGTATAGCTGATAGGAGCCGCAGTGGACTACCGGTAGTGCTGTCTTCGGGTTTGTGGGTCAAGCGAATGTCTCTCCGGTGCATGGTGAGAATCGGCAACCTGTATTTGACTGACTGTTTGCAACTTTGCAACGTAGGCTATTTGCTTTGATGGCTGAGTGATAGACATGAGTCGCTAGTTACCTTACTCGCCCTCGCCTCAACAGTGGTTAATGGGGCCCCCCACTTTTGAGCTCATAGGTTACGTTGGGTGCAAAACTGAAATTATTAGCCTTTGGGGGGTCAAATTTTATGTTTTTCTGATTTTTTTTTTATTTTTTTTTTTGCCTGTTCAGGAAAACCGTTATGGGGCCGGCCACACGAGGAAGGCAGCAAATCAAATGGGGCAACTGACAACATCAAACATGCATGCATGCATGCATAAGGACCAGAAAGAAGTCTTTGTGCGAGTTTTTTTAAAAGATAAGCTCAGAAAAAAAGTGCTGGTTCGAGTTTGCCCCTGCAAAAGAAAGCATGTTCTGCAAAATGCTCAGGCTGAAATTCAAACAGCAAAAGAGGGTTTCGATTCTCGAGCTGCACAAATGTTCAGTTCGGAACTCAAACTGCAAAAAAGTTCAGTTTGAAACTTCAGCTGTAAAAACGTTCACTTTTTAAACTGGACCGGTGGTCCTCGACTCTCTCTCTCTCTCTCTCTCTCTCTCTCTCTCTCTCTCTCTCTCTCTCTCTCTCTCTCTCTCTCTGAGTGCCCTGGCCAATGTGGCCAAGGCTGCGGGGGACAGGAGTCCGAAGAAGCTATTGATGGCATTCGTACTGTCGAAGATGCGGTAAACAATGACATCCGTTTCAGAATAGACGGTGGGGTGTGATGCTTGTGAGAAATTCAATTCGGACTTCGATTCGGACCTTGTCTGTTCCAAGCGACGGTCCGTGATTTTGTTAGTATATTTTGTCCTTTTCGTGCTTCTCGTGTTTTTCGTGTTTTTCGTGCTTTTCCGGCTTTTTTAGCTTTTCGTGCTTTTCGTGCTTTTCGTGCTTTTTGTGCTTTTTGTGCTTTTTGTGCTTTTGTTTAGAAGGTGTAGATTCTGCAAAATGTTTTGAAAATAAGAAAAAAACAACACAAGTGAAATTTAATACGAAAACAACTCATCTGCTTGAAGTTCCAATCCTTATAAATTACCACTCGAGAGTCGAGACCTCACCAATACATCTGTCCAACTTTGCTCTACTTAAAACCTACTGCTAAAGTATCCTTAAACCAAACCTCACATAGTCAGTCTCTCATCTTACATATGGAACCACAATCACAAGGCATTCAATCACCTCGCTCGGATTATTAACTTAAAGACCTTTTGAAGATCCTATAATCTATAGCAGTGATTTTTTACCATTCTTCCAATATATTATGCCCAATGCATTTAGAATTTGCTCTTCGAACACACTAACTCAACCCTTGGGTGTAACTAAGGATGGGAAGGAAGGAGAAGGAATAAAAACAACATGTAGGCAAAAATAAAACACATAGATAGCAAAGGTGACAGGAGAACAAAAAGAGACATTTGATATAGGCGCGAACGTCGCTAAGTGTGGGTGTCATAGTCAAAAAGCGAGGAGTTGCAAGTAGCTCACAGTACTTCTGTTTTTTGTGCATGGGTTTTGCGCAAAACTTTTAACCAACCAGTTTTCATTCAAGAACTATAAAGGTCGGAAGTGCAAAAATATTACTTATGAGTCACTACCACTAATCCTCTTCAACGAATATAATGTACAACAGAACAAATATAATAATTGTATTTGGGGTATCCTTCAGTCTAAATACAACAATAATGAGCACACATTGTATTCATGTGAATAATATAGGTCTATCTTAGTTGGTGTACCCACGGATTTTTAAAACACAAACTTAGGCTCGGATCCGGATGAAACTACATAAATGAAACAAGTAATTTGGAATTTCTCAGAACCAACTACAGTGATGTATTGAATTGACATTACCTCTTCCTGGTTAACTTTTCCTTCAAAGTTAATCATCAGCGCATTCTTCTAATAAGTAGCAATATTAAACCAAAAGGGTTAACAACACTATTATAAATAAAAAAACTGAAGCGGATATTTTTTATTTTCCAACCATTGCCCATCGAGATATATATAGGATTTGTTCATTTGCGATAACACTTTGTAGAGGTTTCGTGCAATTTCTGAAACTGCAATCCTAGTGAGTAAGATATCGTTTGGTAGCCCCTATGCCAAGTGACCAACAACTAAGCCTACTATGTCGGGACCTTACTCGTTGTCTACATAGAGTTGTTGTCGGAAACATAAATAAAATGCATATGCAGATAAAGGAATAAAATGCAATCTATGCATTTCATTTATTTATGATGCATTTGCTGATGATTTGTGTTTGTTCTAACTTTTAGGGAGGATAGTAGGCACTCTATGCATTCTTTTTTTTTATGACGCATTTACCAATGATTTATTTTATGTTCTAACTTCAAGGGAAGATGGTAGGCAGTTGTTGTTAAAGACATCTATTAAAATTTAGTCCGTACAAAGAAGATTAATATAATCCTCACAAGATATCTATTAAAAGTTGGGCCATACAAAGAAGATTAGTATAATCATCGGTAATAGTCCAAAATTATTTCATGTCTAGCATGTTTTGTTTTTTTTCGGTCCTAAGTGCTCAGAGCTCGTTAGATTAAAGTCCCACTCTTCCATTTTAATAACCTCATTGACACCATAGCTGCTAAGATTGGTTTCCTACCATGCATTGAGTGAGTACAGTCCCTCTTAAAATGCCTCTCCCTCTTCTAATATTCACTTTGAGGGACCGGTAGCAACACTTAATCAAGGCTACTGATAGCATAGTCCTCGAAAAAACGAGAGGAAAACAAACGAAAACTAACAATTTGACTCACAATTTTTTTAATTATCTTATAACTTCTTTTGTTTTAAATTTTAATATTGTTATTCAAAAGACCAGCACCTAATCTACGAGCCAATTTTTCCAATTTTTTTAGCCCATTATTTTGAACAATATGAGTGTGGAAAATCATTGAAGTCAAAACATTTTTTCCACTCTGCAAACTTATTCCGCTTAAAGTAACAACGAAAAATAAAAAAAAATCGCCAAATCGCCGGAAAGTTTATTTTCGTGGTCTACATTCTTCATTTTTAAAACATTTTACGTGGTACGTTCGAGACCTAATCTATGGATAGCGTAAATGTTAGGTTTTTGGAGCATTCCTCTTCACGTAAAAAATCGTCAAACTTCGCACTTTTTCTTTTTGTTTTCCAATAGCTACCGACCTTTAAATTCTTCGGGCGCGCGACTTTCTTTACAAAGCCAATTTTTTACTGTTAGGGGGAGTGGTGGTTTAAACTTACCATAAAGAGTAGTCTCTCCACCACTACCCATATCACTCACACTCCTTTCAGATGTCGACAACAATCTTATAGGTGCTAAATAAATCTACACAAATTTGTCTCTCAACCTAATCCTTAACAATGATTAAGTTTCTCAACTATTATATACAAACTCGAATGAAAAAGGTTAGCGATACTATTTGAAATGTCAAGTTTGAACATTAGTTATCGGTCTTTCATTCTCAAGCAGAGGGGAGCGTAGGGGAAGGGCAACCCGAGCTCGTCAGTCATGGAAACTTCGAAAAAAGCCTCGATAAGGGGAAATACTTCTCGTTAATTGTGCAAAAATCCCTCCTCCGCTCGAAGCATTTTCCGCAATCGACATATCTGGTTGATCAGATTGTTGATCTTCGTGCATCCCAGGAGCTTTCCGCACCTTACTCTGCACTACATCAGGTGAGCCATACATGCCCAGATCCACCACATCTTAGACGGCTGCTTCCGGCAACGGGGTAGGGACCCATAGTAAGTTCATATGACCATCGACTGTCCTAGTAATTGTACCCATATAGATAGCACCATTAATCATAAATTGGTGGCTTTTGGTTACCTAACTCTGTGGGGTAGAGGCCCGCCGTGAGGCAACGTGACTATCCAACAACCCATTGTCATCCGTCTTGTGGATGCCATTATTAAGTGTCATGTGGTTGTCGGTCTGGTCACTTTCATCTGACCACGGTAGTCTAGCTTGCTCCTTAGTATCTTTACAGTTCCGTATTTTATTTTGTTGTTTGTGATCATCCTCCGCATAATTTGCACTTGGAAGACCAGTGGTTGGCAACTCCCAAATAAGTCATTGTTAGTGTCGTTTGTCTTGAACCTATTCCCCCCGGATGGTTGATCGCCATGACTGCCTCCCTTAGGAGGGTATATTGTTGATCATTTATTCTCACTCTGTTTGTACTCAAGTGGCCTCAAGCAGTGCAGCTTGGAAGAGCATCGTGGTTTTGTTCATAGGAGGCACCAAGAACTGTTGCGACAGAGCTGTGATGCTCAACCTCAGGCCCTATACTACTTTTCATGCACTAAAATGTAGAAAAAGCTCGGAAACCATGCAATGGGGGTGTGTGAAGGATTTTATGGAAATGGAATGTATGGAGTTCCAGATCGAAACTAGAGTCTC